AGTTTGATCTTTGACAAAGATGCCAAAACCATACAATGGAAAAAAGATATCATATTCAACAAATGGTGCTGGTCTAACTGGATATCTACATGTAGAAAAATACAAATAGATCCATACTTATCACCCTGTACAAAACTAAAGTCCAAGTGGATCAAAGACCTCAACATAAAACCAGACACATTAAATCGGTTAGAAGAAAAAGTGGGGAATACTCTAGAACTCATTGGTACAGGAGACAACTTCCTGAACAGAACTCCAACAGCACAGGCTCTAAGAGCAACAATCAATAAATGGGACCTCATGAAACTGAAAAGTTTCTGTAAAGCAAAGGACACCGTCATCAAAACAAAACGAATGCCTACAGATTGGGAAAGAATCTTCACCAACCCTCTCTCTGACAGAGGGCTAATATCTATTATATATAAAGAACTAAAGAAGTTGAAAAGCAGCAAATCAAGTAATCCAATTAAAAAATGGGGAACAGAGCTAAACAGAGAATTCTCGACAGAGGAATATCGAATGGCAGAGAAACACTTAAAGAAATGCTCAACCTCATTAGCCATCAGGGAAATGGAAATCAAAACGACCCTGAGATTTCACCTTACACCTATCAGAATGGCCAAGATCAAAAACTCAAGCTTTCTACTCTTATAAAACACTTTTAGGTACAGAGTGTCGGGGGGAGGTGTTTAAGAGCACCTGACAAAGGAGGCAATATTTTACAGAGACACACACACTCACACACACACCCATGTCCACGCATGCACAGACACTGCCTCCGGGCACTCACTATACCATTTTTTTTTTCACTATACCATTTTTAACTTTGGGAAATTCAGTTACTATAAGCCTTCAAAAGACTATGATTTTCATTTCAGAAAGGATAAAATTGAGGCCCAGAAAAATACCAATACCACCTTGGTTATCTGATTTAGGTTTTCAGTGCCTCTATTTTCTAGGCTACACAATTGGACTGTGATGGAGACAAAGTCAAAGCAGGAGAGGCTCTGTGCATGGTACAGGAAAGGCACCCTAGTATTACCTAGTCATGCCTCTCCTCCCTTTAAGTGTCACTTTCCTTGTCCGAGTCTCAATATTGTCATATGTGAAAAGAAAGGGGTTTGACTCACAGAATGGCCTCCCAGGATCATCAGCTCTGGTCTTGAGATTCTTCATGGCTGAGAAAGGGAGATCCCTGGTAGATGAGGGGAAACTGGAACCCTAAAAGATCGAATGACCTGGCTGGAATCACAGTCAGCTACTGGCCAAGCTGAGGTAGGATCTACAGCTCTGAGCTTCGGAGTTCCGTGCTATTGGGCTCCCTCGACTATGGTCTTCAACTCTTCAACACTCAAAGAAGACAGAAAATCAATTTGTTGGCACAATGGGAGAAAGATGACAGGGAGGTACCAGCCTCCCTTTAGTAAAGGGAATTGGTGTAGACTCACATTATCTAACAGTTGCCTTCCTCTCAAGGCTGAAGGGCATGTCCCATCCTATGTCTATCTCTTCTCTCAGACCTGAGCTTCCTCCACAAGACAACTCAAAGTACCTGAAGTGCCTTCACTGTTTGCTGGGGGCCCAACTATAAGCATTGTTCATTCACAGGTGCTTCAGAGCCATCTATCTACTCAAGGTAGCCTAGCAGGGAGGTAGGCTGAGGCCAAGAAAGGCATGGCCAAGCTGCCTAGAAAACTGAGGCAGAAACAGATTCAGGAAGGAAACTTAAGTTTACAAGCCCCTGATCCTTAGAGAAAGGATCCCTAAATACCAAGTCTCCTGGAACAGGTGTCTAGTTCAGTGACTGAAGCTCAGGATCTCCAGATGAGGTGCTAATATTGAGGACTTGGCATCTTTGAAGAGGCCTTCCAGGCTACAGCTCAAGCTAAAGCTGGCTCAAGGGAGAATGCTGTGGGCCAAATCTGTACCTGGGGAAGGCCTAGAAGAGCTGAAGTTTCCAGTCACCAAGGCACAGTTGGCATGACATACAGACCTTTTGAGCAAGACAGTGAAGCTAGACCTGGGGTTAAAGGTTGGCTTGCCAAGTAGGGCTACTCCATGCACTTGAACAAGTGATTTCACTTCTTCAAGCATTTTTCCCCTCAAGGTATAAAGTGAAAATAATGGCTCCTCAATGCTGAGGGGAGATAATAACTATACCTATTTAGTAAGCCAAGCCTAGGAGATGAGATCTGGGTTGAGCCTCCAACTGTGTGATGCTGCACAGTCCTTATCATAGCCCTAAAAAATAAGCAGCAGGACCTAGGGCAAGGAGGAAAAGACAGCTCACCCTGGCCATGACCTTGCCTTCAAGGTCACATAGAAAAATAAATGCACCAGGATTTGACCCATGATTTAAAAGTCAGACTTCCCCTTCCATTAGCACTTTGTAAGACTATTATCACATCCTGGTGCAGGGGCCCTAGCCCAGCCAGTTGATGACATTTTCTCAACTGTAAACCTGGTTACAGAAAGTTAGTCTTCCCAACCCCCCTTCCCTTGCCCCCTATGCTGGGTCTGAATGGTAAGCTGAAAAACTTGCAGATGCTTTATTAGAATGAGGTTGGGCAAACTATTGCTTGCCACCTCTTTTGAGAAATAAAGCTAAGCTGGAACACAGTCACACCCATTGATTTCTGTGATGTATATGGCTGCTTCTGTCAGACAAGGTAGACGTAATTAACAAGTGGGACAGATTTGAAAACACTGTACAGAAAAAGTGGTCTGACCCCTGAGGTGAACTGTCTTCCTTGTACCTCTGACCTTTCAGCTGTAGTCCAAAGCAGCAGCAGGGGAGTTCCTTGCCAGATTACCTCTCCAAGTACTGGCCACTAAGAAGAGAAAAGTAGGTTTCCAAAGGAGACCTCGAGAAGCCTTCCTTTTGGGTGTTCCAGAGAAATGTTGGCAGGGTGAACAGCCTTCCTCAGCCAGGACAGGAAGGTAGTGACTAAATCTTCTCTACCTTTTTTTTTTTTTTTTTTTTTTTTTTGGTTAGCTGGCATTGGTTCAACCTGGGCAGAGAGAAACCTTGGATTGAGAAATGTAGCTGAATAGCCTTTAGATCTGAGAAACAGAATTATATAAGCACCTTAAAATGGCCACTTAGGCCAGACTCCATGGGCTCTTTAGTTGTGGAAGAGTAGCCCAGGCCCAATTAAGAGTCCCAAGTCGATCAGAGTCTGAAGAGAAAGGCTTCATAGCAGCCACGGCTCATTTGAAACCAACACCTGTGGCCTGAAAAGCCATGCATGCCCCAAATCTACTTCCTGAATCCTTGTCATTTCAAAGGCTGCCCAGTTTCTCGATGGATTTTGGAAGCAGTGTTATTTTTCAGGTTCTTTGCCTGCCCCCTTCAACCCCTCAGGCTGCCACATCTTCTCCAGAAATAATCAGATGAATTGTAGTTGAATCATCTAGCAGAGGTGTCTAACCTCAACCTGCAGGTTATGAGGGAAGTCATACATTTATTTTGTGTGACAGTGACAGCTACAACTGTGACACTCAAGAACTGTACAAATCAACCTGTAAGATGGCTCAGTGGTTAACTGAACTTACTACCAAACTTGATAACTTGAGTCCCATCTCTGGAACCCACAAAGTAGAACAAGAAAGACAATTCCACCCAGTGGCCCTTGACCTCCACATATGAACTGTGGTAAGCAAGCCCATACACATGCATCCACATACCCAAATAAATAAATGGAAAAAAAGAAAAAGCCACAAAATCAAGTTACCAAGAAAGCCCATAATGTTTAAAATGTCTATATTAGGCCACATTCATAGTGATCCTGGGCCACATGTGGCCACAGGGCCATTGACTGGATAGCTCTGAAGAACTCAGTGTTTTAACAACCAACACTGCTCTGATCCTGTTGTATTTGTTTGGTCAAGTCAAGATACCTTCAAAGGACATAACCTATTGCTCCTGCTCTCCTTAGGTCTGAACCCCAGTTATCTTTACAGAGGGACATCAATTTCCCTTCCCTTTGTCACTGGTACCCATTTCACTATACTTGCCCTGTGCCCCCTGATGGCTGCTTATCCCCTCCCTTCCCTGCCCATCATCCTCTTCCCAGATGCTGTTGAGTCTTCATGGGCCAGTTTTAATCACTTGGCCAATCTTCACTTTCCCTGATCCCACTGAGCCAGGCTGTCTTCTACTCCAAAGTTCTGTTTCACTTAACGGGGGTGGGGAGATCACCACCACCACACACACACACACACACACACACACACACACACACACACACACAC